ATTTGGTATTTTTAGATTTAACAAAAACAAATAGAAAGTCCAACAAACTGACCGAACTTTTGTTAGTCCCCTCGTAGTCTTCGCGATTATGCAGCCCTTAGCTCGTTCTCAGTGTCTATTCGCCTGACGAAGTAGTATTACTTCTTGCTTCTGCTGCACTTTCTTAAATGGGATTGGAATTAAAATTATACGCTTTTTATTTATTTATGAAAAGCACATATCTGAACAAGCACCCTTAAGACTAACATAAAGCAATGAGTTCTGAGTTCAAGTTGATTTTATCCTAGAAACGCTGGAAATATATTTTCTTGGAATTCAATGTAATTTATTAAATTAATTTCATTTAATCAGCAAATCTTAATATCACATAAATGTACATACAGTGTGTCCTTAAAATAACCGAACTTTATATTTAAATCATACAACATACAGCGCCATCTATTGAAAATATGCAACATTAAAATGATACATGTATAATCTTTTAAACGCACCTAACATCATGTAAGTCGGATAACAGATGTAAAATTAATGAAAAAAGTTTAGTGATGATTGTATGAGTCGTACGCAAGTTTATACGTGGTTTGCACGATTTAAAAATGGTCGTGAGGATTTAAATGACGACCCTAGAGCAGGACGTCCAGAAACTAGTAATCGTGCTGAACTGGTGGAAAAAGTCAGTGGAATCATTGGAGAATTTTAACTGAAGATTTGGGGAAAAGAAAGGTCTGTGCGCGATTTGTTCCACATGAATTAAATGATGACCAAAAAATCGCTCGAATTTTTAATGAAAAAGGGGATTTCTCTCATCGACCATCCTCCATATTCGCTTGATCTATCACCATGTGACGATTTTTTATTTCCAAAACTGAAAACCAAGATGAAGGCAGCATATTATGATGATATCCCAGTCATGCAAGCAGCCGTAATGGAGGTAGTGAAGAACATTTCTATAAATGACATAAAAAAATCTATGCATGCGCTGGTTGATCGTTCCAAACGTTGTGTTGAGTCAAAGGAACCTATTTTGAATAAATAATAACTTTCAAAGATCTACATACATATGTATTTTATTTTATATCCAAAAAGTTCGGTTATTTTTGGGACACACTATGCATTTATAACCCAGTGTATAAGCAGACATTCATCTGTATTCCTGTATATGACTTACATACATATGTAGATGCAAATGTGCGCTTATTGCACTCAAAGGTTGATGAAATGTAAAAATAATGCAATAAATTATCCACCCATCAGATCTATTAATGTAACCGGTTTTTTACACCTTTATGTAAATTTATCAATAAATATCGTCGCGCTAGTATTGTGCTCACATTGTTGCTACTGCAAATACGTAAGTAAATAATTTTAATCGGATGCACTTAAATGAACAATTTTTCGAGTGGTTTGTAAAATCTCACCGCACGGAAAGGCTTTGCAGCCACACTCCTCACATGTGCTGCTGTACAGAAGTACCTACTTGGATTTGTATATAATCAATCACATACATATAGATACAAACACGTAATATTGCAAAGAATTGGAAACAAAACTCAAACAATGCAAGCACGTGTCATTGAGTGGAGATTTCTTGTGAATATTAAGACCTACTTGAAGCTGTTTACCTTCATGAGCACCAATTGGAAATTTTGCCTAATAAATATTACTGTTATCTATTGACTGCGCTGTGACGTCTACAGGAAGGAGAAACGTTAGAGCTTTGAGAAATTTATATCGACTGTTTGTATACAAATTAGTTCCCCCGAGCTTGGGGAGTGGATTCATATAATTTTATACTATACTAGCAGCACTGAAAAATATAGAAAAAAGAAAAAGTCTCAATCATTGGGTGAGCTCCATGATACCAAAATTGTATAAGATAGTTTTACTTCCAAGTTTTTTACACTAAACATGTTTGCTCCTCCTGAACTTTTGCCATTCTGAATGCAGTGTCATTATATCTCTTTCGTTGGAGCCTTTGTGCCTTTTGGCAAAAAACGATAAATATCTCACGGTGAGTTTTTATACCTTTCTTCACCCCATCAACCTCAACGAAATTCATTTTGGGATTAAATAAATGAATTACGATGAAGTTGATGGGGTCAAGGAAGGTATAAAAATTTCGATATGACCGCAGACAGCTTTTTTTTCTTGTCTAATTTATATCTGTCGCAGTTAAAATTTTGTTGTTAGGTAAACCTGAGACCGCAACAGCTACATCCACCCGAGCAAAGTCAGGAAAACTCACATCACTAATGCCTACTAATCATACTTTTGCTGGTTCTTCATAAATTATTGGAAGATATTCTTAGTATTTTTGCCTGAAATCGGGGTTTTTGGAGCAGCTGAGAATCGTTAGGGTGCTATAGCTCCCTGTGACTTTTTCATCAGTATAATAGCCTTCAGAACCGTGATATTTGCAGTTAGCTGCTCACCATGAGATGCTCAAAGAAGCCTGGGACAATCGATTGTCCCAGTTTATTACCAAAGGGACAACGGTTCGAAGGAAAGAGGTATAAATAATGACACTATTATTACTTATGGGACGCTGATCAGCTCGCAGCCTAAAGTTTTTAAGGGGCACACCTAGTGTGAAATTTCAAAAAAAAATCGATCTTTTAATTTTCGTAGATTACACCTTTAAAAATAACATTTTGAAATTTCCAATCGATATCTCAAATAGTTTTTGAGTTATAGTAATTTAAAGAGCAGCCGCTCGGCAGCTAGAGTGTCTCATTAGCTACAACTGAAAACGATAATTTTATCTTTAAACGCGTTTTTCTTGAAACAGCATTTTCCGAATTTGCTGCAGTGATTGCTCAAAAACAAATGATCCGATCACTATCGAATTTTGTTTACATGTTCTATATATATTGTAGTTCTCCGTACAATGACCTATCAATTTTTGATTTGATCAAAAAATCGAATTTTGGCAGGCCAAAAACGACCAAAATTTTGGGTAAAATTCGACTATTTTTTTTAAAACGCCGCCATATTGTCAATTTTTGATTTTTTTTATCGTAGGTCATTGTACAGACAATATTATCTAGTAGAAAATTTTTTTTTTAGATTTCATCCACGGAGAAGGCCGGAATCACTGCAGCATTGAAGGACCTTTTTTTTCGCGCCGTTGGAGTTAGACTATAACTTAAAAAATATTTCATTTTTTCTTCAAAAATTTCACTGTATATTCTTGAAATATGTATAAATATATTCTTAAAATTTTGAAATAATTGATAAAGTATTTTTTTTAATAAAGATTCCCAAAAATCAGCTTTTTTTAGGCCATTACACAAGGTGTGCCTCTTAATGAGACAAATATATCTACAAATTTAAGTTTTTAATTTTTCAATATGGTCTTCCTCAATGAAAAACTATTTTTTATACATTTCCTCAAAATGTTTTTCTCAGACTACTTTCATAACACTGTCATCTGAAAATTTTCATCCCCGTAACTACTTTTTTAAGTTTGGGAAAAGAAAATGTCACTGTAAGTCAGGTTCGGACTGTGGAGTGGATGGTCAGTTTCGGTGTATCCCTTCGACAAGTAATCAATTGATAATATTCACTCGCTATTCCAGAAAATGGTAGCCATAATATTCAATGCCGACTTTTCCAATTTGATTTTCTTTGGTGGCCCACTATTTTTTTGTCTTATTGAAAAGTTCATGTAAAATCTCCCCAGCTCGTTCTTTGCTAATCTATGATCCATCTGCTATCTGCCACGATTTAATTCTTCAATCAGCCAATGATGTGCCATCTCTAACTACCTTAGGTTGCGAGAAAGTCAGCTGCCCCTCGAATATTGGATAATTTCACACTATGCTATATATGAGAAGGTTAAAAAAAGTTTGGTAAATTGACCAGAAAAAAATTAAATAAAAAATATTTTCGCATTTATTTGTAATCTCTGGCCTTTTTTATATTTTCTACATAATCGCCATTGATTTTAATACAATTCTTAAGCCTATAAATCCACTTCTGAAAACAGTCTTCAAAATCTTGCTTTTTCTACTTACCAAGTTCAGCATTAATCGCATTAATTACCTCCTCGTGTCTATTAAAGACCTTTCCTTTTGAACTTTCTTAATTTTTGGAAATAACCAGAAATCACAGGGTGCTATATTCGGAGAATATCGATCTCGGAGATCACAAGAAAATTCCCCGTTGTTTCAGCAGTGTGGGATGGCGCGTTGTCATGATTTAAAAGGTAGCGCCCCAGATCCTTTTTTTTCCTGTTTTCCAATAAATTTTTGAAAACTTTTTGTACTGGTGGATTTGTTCCTGTTGGGCTCCATACTATGGACTGTTCGATTGTACATTTAAAGCCAAGTTTCGTCACCAGTAACGACTTTGTTAGGGAAAAATTGAGCAAAATGCACTCGAGCCTCTTTTTGGAACCTCATTTGAAATTCGAGGCACCCATCGAGCAGATTTCGTCGTGTATCCCAGATGATTACTTAATATTCGCGATACAGCCAGGACATTGATTAACAATCATTTCTTGTGTCATTATTTCTTGTGATGTCATCAGTGAAAGTTTTTGGCTGACCTCTCCATTCTCTAAAAATGTCCGGTCTGGAATCTACGGAATCACTTAAAAATAGTCTTTAAAGACGGCGCAATTTTCCATTCACTGAATATTTGTATTGGCTGAAAATTACGCCGAAACTCGAAGGGAATCACATTGCGAATTTCTGTTTGCGTTGGTGGTGGATGGAATTTCGTCTGACCTATCTTCAGCTAACTTGCGTTTTCTCGTCTCCATTTTAGCCGAACGTTGTAAAATTTGAAAAGAGGACTAATAAAATAATTGCGCAGGATTTGGTATTTTTAGATTTAACAAAAACAAATTGAAAGCCAGCAACTGACCGAACTTTTGTTAGTCCTCTCGTAAAGCCTTTAATTTCTGCTAAGATTTCTTCCAAAAAACGTGCAAAAGTAAATATATGTAAATATATATATTTGGTTTTATAATTTTATGTCTACTAGTTTAAGAAATACATACAAACATTTTTAAAGCTTCGCCTTTGATCTTACACACTACACACATACATACATACATATGTGCATATATTCCGGGTTTCCAATTGGCACTTCTAAAATCTAAAACTAAGCTCTCTGTTCGCATAAAAAGTTAATAATCAACTAATTATGTAATAACAGCAGTGTTGTCTTTGTGATTTAATAATAAATATTTTGTAGGCAAGAATTTTGATTGTTTTAAAATATTTTCGTTTTTTTTTTTTTACTAAATTACACAAAATTGTTTTGTAAAAATAGCTAGCAACTGACATTAGTAGATATGTAAATACAAATCACATTGGCACATAAACGCACGATAAGTCAACGCTTTCCTACGCTAAAAGTGTAGTCTAATAAATTCAAAATAAAAGAACTTATCATAATTAAAACTAAGCTACACACATACATAGTTAGTTACACCTATTCGAGTGACACCGTTTCGAAAGTTCTCCCTTTCACATGAATAAATGTTATTGCACCTCATTGAAATGTGTCACAATTTGCGATAAACTCTCATAGGTGCCGGTGGAGAAGCCCAACAATGCCAGTATGAGTATGACAATGTTTTTGGTGAACAGCCAAACGCCCGGTCCTTTGTTGTCATCACGTTTGATGAGTAGCTCAATCATCGGCGGAAATACCAAGGCCAAAGCGGTGGAGCACAGAGCACCGATGAGTGACATGAAGAGACCCAGAGCAGGAACTAACTCGGCAATGCATACTGAAATGAAAGAAGAAATTTTAAAATTAATTACATATTGGCAAAATGGTTGGTTGGCTAATTGATAGAGTGTGGCTGAAGACCTGACTGTAAACTGCCGATCGACTTATCCTAAGTCTTTGAAAAGACTCATTATACTCTCCCGTACATTCCAATTAAGCGCTTCCAACAATTCACCAAATTTTATAAGTTGTTTTAGTCTCTTGCAAATGTGCGTGCCCAACGTACTCGTACATCGTGAAAGTTGTGATGTCCCAAGCGGCAGTAGGCCGATCACTCACAAAGGTAATGCTCCAAAGTTTCGTGATTATCCGTTCATGCTCCGCACTCAGTCAATCCCACTTTATTCAGCTCGTGAAGATTACATGTATTTTAGGGTCAGATGTCTACTATTCACGCTGCCACACAATAATTTGGTGGTACTTTTGGAAAAATTCCAAGCCCTCAAGAGCTCCTACATGGCGCACTGATTTAGACAATATTTAGAGTTCGCTAGCAGGTCTGAGGCAGACAATAGTAGCAGTTTCGCCAGCATGAGCCAGCTCGCCCGAATTTCCTTTGCCTTCTATAATCGTGTAACCTTGTGACCAAGTGATATTCAATGTGTTTTCCTGCGTCCTGCATGTTCTAACGTATTTAGGCTGTGTGTTGACACATTTCATACTGAAGCGGTTGCCTATTTGACACCTTAAGTAATGAGCACAATCTCTGCTTGGAAGACACAGAAGGACTCTCCGGTGACTGCCTCACACTTAGACCCATCAGTATAGATATGAATATCTTCAATGTTACCGATGAATCCGTCTTACATTCATTCTACCAAACTAGGGAAATAAGGATGGCATCTACCCGGTAGAACGGTTCTGATTTTCGGTCACTAGGGCTCTGCAGATTATAGTAAGCCGCCTTCGAACGGCTGACGAACGATATTTGTTGGCTACCCGGATTACACTTGGTCTAATACCGGTAGTCGTGGATTGAGCAGTTGGTATAACGCAGTATCATAGGGGAGAGCATATGGATTTGAAAGAGAAAATAATCTAACCCCGAATATTGTGGTAATAGAACGCTGATCTGATTCCAAGGATCAATATAACCTATAATGATGTATATACTAGCTCTCAGTATGCCTTCCCATCCAAAACGGTTTTCCATGAAAGTACAAGCACAAGAAATAGAGCCGATGAGTGCGCTTATAAATCCCAAATATAGCAGTCCTGCTCCTGTGAAACCAATGTTAAGAACTGACGGGCGGTGTAAGCGAGCCTCAGATATCTCCCTAAAGTTTCCAAAAACCTGTCGCATCACAGTTTAAAGCCTATTCCTCCCGGTTGAGAGTTATACACAAGAAAAGTTTCATGGAGCTCCTCTTTCTACAGTTGCAAGACTAAAAAGGACACGGTTATCAACCAGCCTTTATATTTCTTAATTGACAACTTCCGGTTTTGGAACACGTTGGTAAATACTTAGAGCGCGGTTGACCACCAGGCTAGTTTCTTCATAAAATAAGGGCTGATTCAACGTCATACAAGAGATTATATGGACACAGATCCTGGCGGTAATGGGTTGAAGAGGAGGGCGTTATAATGAACAAACTTTTACAAATCGAATTTATTTCCACTAGCAAAGTCTTCTTGACCACACATACCGCTATCTTCTCGATCTTGCCGTATGGCCAGGATATTATGGAACTAAATTTGAAAATAAAGAATTCCACTTGAAAATCAAATGGTTATTATTTCCTCGTTCAGCTGGTGGAAAAGGTTGGTCGCTACGTTTGTGGATGATATCCGTAAATATTTGGAAATTGTGGAAGATTTGGTCCTGTCCTTTAGAGGTACAAAAGCTATTCCTGACCTGTAGCCAAGATCTGACTGTTAGTATCGCAAAGACCCTTTGAATGGTACTCCACAATCTGGATTCCTTCAATTCGCATACGATCGCAAGTTTTACAAAAGTAAAAAGCCGTATAAATGACGTCGCACCGATATGGACACCGGGTACTTATGAGATGCAGGGCATGAAGCCTTGAGCACTTTAACAGGAAACCCTTTATGCATATTTGCAATGCGAGACAACTATACCAAAGGTTAGGCAGCTAATGTTATGATTAGCAAGCAGTATACGTTGGGATATTAAAGTGGGGAACACCCAATTATAGCTCCCGCTCAAACAGCTTCCTTTACACTCTTCCAGTGAATGGCATCATCGGGATCCCACTAGCATACAAAGAGGTTCAGTTGTCCTGTAAGGCCCGAACAACACAGAGATCTGGATATTGTATTCCTTAACTCCTACTTATTTAGACTCGATCCCAATAAACCCAACATAGATATGCCTCATAGCAAGAGTCACCTAAGGGCACTAACCAACTGTTTTTTTCCCACTGAAACCAAAGCATTTAATTCCTCGATGACTTCGCCTTGGCTTGACTGGCCCTAATGGAGTTTCTAGGCAGTTGCGGCAACAACAACAAATATATTGCATGTATGGTTCTTATGAAGAATTCTAATTGCCAAAAAAAAACAAGCGACTCTCTGCTAGAAGCGAGATCAGTAGATATAAATATTTCTAAACTACTTACACGTCAGCACCACCATAACTGTGCGGAACAGCAACTCGCCGGAGAAGGGACGATTTTGTAAATGCATCAACTGCAGAGCATTGGGCAGCATAATTTGTATGGCAATAAAGAATTGCAGTGGATAACCGAGCAAGACACCGGCCGACACCATCACCTTCACGCACTGAGCCAAACTACAAGACAAAATTTCATAATTATTTTAGTACTTACATACATAAATATCTTAGCATAAGCAACTCACATCGTATCGCCCAGATTCAGCGTCAAACTACCGCCCACATCTTCACCCCACTTGAGGTAACCCAAAATGCCGGCGAATAGAAACATGAATGTGACCAAGCACATGCCCATATTCAGCACGCCCATCGTGCGCGCAAAGTCCGTCGGCTTACGCATGGCATTGCGCAGTGGCAGCACCAGAGTTATGCCCTCAAAAGCAAATATGGCAGTGCCGAAGAATAACGCCAAATGTGGGCCATCGGTATAGAGTTTACGTTCCTCAGCGCTGGGCACACCGTCCTTGAGAGCGTAGAATATAGTAACGGCCAAACCGACAATCATGCAAATGGAAGCGATCAGGGAAACGGGCATCAGCCATTTCAAATTGGTTATCAGCGAGGTGAGCAGTATCGGCACGAAAATAATTACCATAACGAGATGCACATCGATTTCAATATTGTAGGCATCAAATATCTATAAACGAAGTAAGTTAAATTTAATTTATAGCAAATTCTTGCATTCCCTTCCTTAATTGCCTTACTTGTTTCATATTTGTACTGATGAATACAATGTAAATACAGCAGAAACCCAGCTGTGTAACACAAATGAAAATATTCACAATTGTCTTCATCATTTTCGACCATGTACGCAGCTTCACCGGCCCATTTTCGAAACACTGTTCCACAGTATCCGCATAATCGGCGCATACAACACCGTTAGTTAGCGCTCGCATTTTCTCCGAACAATTTACGAGCACATGCTGACAATGCACCGAAATAACACCGATAACGACAAGCAGTATGGGTCCCACCAACAGACCGCCATTTCTGAAGGCATCGCCCATAGCGAATAGACCGGGTCCAATGTTGCCCTTAAATATGTGTATAAGTGTTGTGACATAACTAGAGGAGGATGAAGAAGAGAAGTGTGTTACGTTACGTTGAAAATCTCTTAGAAGTGGAATCTTTGGTGCGACCTACCTCGTTGGTGGATGTTCGGGCGCGTTCTCCGCTTCTTTCTTAAGTTTAGAGTTTGCCTGTTTCTCCATATCACCTTTCTGTTGTGGTGTATCGTCCGCCGTTTTGTTGGCATTACTTTCGCCGTGCTTATTCTCCAGCGGCACCTGAGTGTAGGTTTGGTTCTGAAAATTTCGAAAGAAAGAAAAGATTTTGTATTAATCTATGTTAATCCGTATCTATATACGATTGGATTGAGAAAAGTTCTGTCAGTTGCTGACTTTCAATTTGTTTTTGTCAAAACTAAAAATTGACGCTTTTCAATCATGATGAAATAATATTTATTTTTTCATTTTTATTTCATTATGATTTTCAATAGTGTGGGAAGGAAAATTTACTCTGATTGCTTCTAGTGATTTATTCAATAGCGAATGACGACAGAATTATAAACCTAAATTCAATTTGGGCTGATATGTATGGCCATATTAACTGTGAGGATGAAGACTACTATTACCTGTGGACAGGCAATTGAAAAGTAAAGTCTACTCTCGACGAACAAAGACCAAATTCTATAAATCCCTCGTCAGATCCCTCTCTCTTTATGATACAAAAGTGTGCACGATGAGAACAGTTGAACAGGAGAGAGGTTTGGAAAATGATTCATGGAAGTTTGAATAGAAATCGCGAATAATAGTACTTATACGCAAGTACATACAGACAAATAACAAAAATTTGTCGTTTACATTATTTTTGCTGATTTGACAATTCTCAAACGTAATTTCTATTTTTAAAGTTAAGTGAGAAAACAATAACTATTTTAATATTCATCAAAACAATTATTACCAAATACGCGTATATACCCATATACATTTGGTTATATAGTATATACATACCTATATATATATACCAAAGTACAATAGTTGAAAATAATGAAATCACAATAAAACACAACAACATATAAAATCTAAATTAGAATTGAATAGAACCGGCAAACTGCCAACCGACTAATTGAAAGCTTCACATGAAAACGTGACCACATGCTGGTGACTATGTACACAGATGCGGAGCATATTATATAAGAAAGCAAAGCAAAAATGATCCATCAAGCCATCGTCAAGAAATATGACACCTGATTTGATTGCTGAGACCATCGAAGAGAGAGAGAGAGGGAGAGAAGAAGAGAGAGAGCGAGAGGGGGAGAGATCGAGGAAGTTTACAAGCATTCAACAGTTGTCGGTGAAATCGTCTTTGATAACAGATGACGTAGGTTCAAAAATGTCAAATTCGAGCGGAACACGCGACAAAGCTGACAATCTAAGGCATTTTTTACGTTTTTACGTTTTTCATTAACCATTATACATTTTGATTAGTTTTAATTGAACAAAAGTTTAAGCTCATGCAATTTTAACTGGTGACTGGAAATGAAAAGAGAATGAGACATTATATATAATATATATGTATATATATATTTATGAAAATAATTTCGTATTAAAAGTTATAACATAATTTGGTGTGCGCTCAGAGGTGACGCAATTAGCATTTGTTGGTAGTATTTAAAATTACGCTAAAGTGTTTTTGAGTATTTTCTTTTTTAAAAGAAAAAAAATCAAATTAAAGATTTACTCAAACATACTGAAACCAACAATGGAAATTTTTATTTAGCACAAAGCATTGGCGTAGATAGAGTAATGACGCCTTAAAAATCCCTTGGCGCTTTAGCCTGCATATTTGGGCAATTTTCCAAATATCTACATGAGTGGTTTTTGTGAGAAAAATGTATACAACTTTGTCATCAACAAAAAAAAAAAAAAAATAAAAAAAAAAAAATAAAAATAAAAAAATAAATAAAATAATTAAATAATAGTAAAGCAACAATAAAATGAAGTATTCTTAAACATCTAAAATTAAATACTAAATTGAAATTAAATACAATATAAACTAGAATATATGAAATTAAATTAAAATAAATTAAATTCCTTAAAAAAATTAAATAAATCAAAATTAAACTGATTTAATTAACTTAAACAAAGTAAAATAAAATAAAACAGCATAAAACATAAAATAAAAAAGCAAAATAAAACCAAAATTATTATTTGATGAATTAAAAAAAAAATAAAATAACTTATTAAAAAAAATTTTTATTATTATATTAAAATAATACTAAGTTAGGCAAGACAATATAAAAAATTAATTCAATCAAATTAAGCATAATAAGAAACGAATAGCGCATTGTTGTAAGAAACGAATGGTGCATTATTGTAAATCGGCTATAGTCGCGTTAGGGGTGTCAACGCCCGTAAAGTAAGTAAGTAAGTAAGTAAGCATAATGAAACAACATTTAATAAAATAAAGTAAAATAAAAAATAAATAAAAATAATTTTAGATGAATTTAAAGAAAAATTAAATTAAAAAAAAATTAATGACAATAAGAAACCAAAATAAAACTAAATAAAATAATAGAAATTAACTTAATGCACTTAAATAAAGTATAATAAAATTAAGTTATGCAAGATAAAACAAGAAAAGAAAATAAAAAAAAATTAAACAAAATACAATATTTAATTAGAAATTTTAATTAATTAAAATAAAATAAAAACATAAAATAAAATGATATATAATAATATAAAGCGAAATAAAATAAACTGTTGTAAATTTTAACAACATTGAACTAAGCATGGTTTAATAAAATATGAAATAAATGAGAAGAAAATAAAACAAATTAAAAAAAAATTATGAAATGAAATGAAAAAAGATCTAAATTAAAATAAAATAAGATGGAATGATATTTTACTGCAATTAAAAACAAATAAAAATAAAAACAAAAAAAATTAAATAAAATACAACAGCTTAAATTAAAGAAATTGAATAAAGTCAAATAAATCTAAGTTACGCAAGTAAATAAAAATAAAACCAATTAAAATAAAATAACGTTTTACATTAAAAAATAAAATAATATAAAAATTTAAAACAAATGAAAGAAAATTATAATAATTTATAAGAAACTAAAAGGACGTAAAGAAATTAAACATAAAAATTAAAAAAAAATAAATAAACCAAATTTAAATAAAATAAAAAAAAAATTACATAAAATGAAATGAAAATACTAAATTAAATTCAAAAAATTCAAATAATACAAAAAAGATATAAAAAGATATAAAATAAAATATAAAAAGAATAAAATAAAACTATCGGAATTAAATAACATAAAATAAAAAAAGAATAATGATAAAAATTAAAAATAATAAATAAAAAAAAATAGTCTAAACTAAATTAAATAAAATAGCAAAAGTGAAATAAAATAAACCACAACAAAATAAGATAAAAAATTTTTTAATTAAAATTAAAATAAAATATAAAATAACTTAAAAAGTAATAATATAAAGTAAACTAGACTAAAAAAATAAAGCAAAACAAAACCATAAAATAATATTGAATCATTTTGATAAAATGAAATAACTTAAAAGGTAGTAAAATCAAATAAAAAATAAGGTAATATAAAAGTAAATAAAATAAACTAAACAAAATACAATAAAATTAAACAAAATAAGTTGTAAAAAACGAAACAAAAGAAAAGAAAAATAATATTAAAAATTTAAAACCTTTAACTAAAATGAAATAAATTAAAATATAATAAAACAAAAAATTAGAAGTCTTAAATAAAAGGAAATAAAATGAAATAAAAGTAATAAATTAAAATAGGCAAATAATATAAATTTAATAAAGTAAAATGAATTGAAGTAATAGAAAATATCAAATAAAATAAAATAAAAATGAACGTGTTAAGCATAGGGCAGCCCTCCATAACAGATATACAGAATTCCCATTCACTCCGGTAAATTTTCTTTTGTCCTTTGTTTTTTGCAGCAATTGAAGCCAGTTTCTGAAGTTTAGATGCCGATTTTCTTTAAGCTGTTCTCTGATTATAATAATAAATGTTTTTACGTCTAAATAACGGCTAGGTATTTTTTTTTAAATAATTCAATCAATTTCTTTTAATTGTATGAACATTTTTCATTAACATCTTTGAGCGCCTAAAAATATGGAAAGAATATTTCTGAATTTATTATAAAATTCAAGAGATAACATATTTATGATTATTGTAATAGTAAATGATAAAAAAATCTTATCATTGCCATCTACATATGTACATTGACGTCATATGGAGTTGTTCTTTTTTTTTTGCGTCAAAAAAACAGCTTTAGTTTACTTTGTAATATTGATTTAATTTATTTACCTATAAATCAATTAAAATTCATAACATTTTAAGCATTGTATTAAATAATTAAAATTTTTCGTTGGAATTTTTTTGTGTAATGAATTATGTGTGGAGCATGTGACTACATACCTATGTGCTGTATATGTATATGTATGTATGTATGTACATATGTAAGGGAAGAAACTTATGAGTAAACACTCAAATATGTCTAGACCTGTTAAAATGTATATAATAATTTTTTGCTAATTTTCAAATTATTCAAAATTTCAAATTACAAAAAAGTAAATAAAATATAAATTTTCCTTACTAAAAAAATATTTAACAGACCAAATGTAATTGTTTGAAGAAATTCAAGTATTTATGCTTGATAAGCAACTCCTCTGCTGGGCACACCGAAAAAAAAAAGATTTTACAAACCACAACTTCTTCGCAAAAGGTCATCACGAAACGTAAATAGATTGCTTCATATACGAGTACTTACATATGTATGTACGTTTGTATAAAATATTAAGCATAGAACATATAGCATACAAGTAGAGTCTAGAGTCTAGACTAATATTAACTATTATTTTCTATGCTTTATTGGTATTAAAATATTTCACAACAAGTACTTTGATTTGAACAGTGAGCTGAATTAAAACAAAAACACTTCAGAAACACTTGACTACCTATATTTGATATCATGATAAAAAAAAGTACTATAATTTCATAAAACTATGACATGTACCTGTTACAATGATACAAAACCGAAAGCATGTGTTCCATTTAAATGTGAAAATATGGGGAAAACACAAAAACTATGAATGAGCTAAATGTAATAACCCAATTACCTTATAGAAGTACAATAGAAACTGCATAGCGGGAATGAATAATGAATTCTACCGAACAAAGAAGAAGAAAGGAGTTATATTCAACAGGAGGAGCGTGACGAAATATTTGGAACCGAATTCAAAAGAGAAAAAAGTAAAA